TCTCTCTCTCTCTCTCTCTCTCTCTCTCTCTCTCTCCCCTCCTCCTTCGTCATCCTCTTTTGTTTCTTTTTTTTTCGTAATCGACTCATCGCCATCGACATCCAGCAGGTCCTAATCTCCCCCTGCCCTCTTCTTTCTCTTCTCTCCTCCTCCTCCTTTCGTCTTGTCCTTCTCTCCTCCTCCTCCTCCTCCTCCTCCTCCTCCTCTTCCTCTCATCTTCTTCTTCTTGCCCGCTCCTCCTCTGCTTTCGTGTTCTCCCTCTCCTCCTCCTCCTCCTCTATTCGTCTTCTTCTCTCCTCCAGCTCCTCCTTTCGTATTCTCCTCCTCCTCCTCCTCCTCCTTTCGTCTCCTTCTCTCCTCCTCCTTTCATCTTCTTCTCTACTCCTCCTTTCTCCTCCTCCTCCTCCTACCTATTTCATGTGTTTCTTCTAGTACGCAAAGTGCCACGTGGTGTTGGCAACACGACCCTCACAGCTGGCACGTGCCGGGATAGGTGAGCTGCACGGCCAGTTGACGTGCTGACGGGCGGGATTCCTCTCTCTCTCTCTCTCTCTTTTCTTCTTCTTCTTCTTCTCTCCTCCTCCTCCTCCTTCCTCATCCTTTTTTGTTCCTTCTTTTTTTTGTCCTTACCATCCGAATCTGGCAGGTCCTCCTCCTCCTCCTCCTCCTCCTCCTCCTCCTCCCCCTAACTTCTTCTTGTCTCCTTCTCCTCCTCCACTTTCGTGTTCTCCTTCTCCTCCTCCTCCTCCTCTTTCGAGTTCTCCTTGTCCTCCTCGTCCTCCTCCTCTCATCTACTTTTTCTTCTCTACTCCTCTTGTCTTCTTCCTCTCTCCTCCTCCACCTACTTTCGTCTTCTCCTTCTATCCTCCTCCTCCTTTTGTCTTGTCCTCCTTTTTTTTCTCTCCTCCTCCTCCTCTTCCTTTCGTCTTGTCCTTCTCTCCTCCTCCTGCCCCTTTGTTCTTCTCTCCTCCTCCTCCTCTTTTCATCATCTGCTTCTTCCTCCTTTCTTGATCTTCCTCTTCTTCCTCCTCCTCTTCCTACACTTCCTCCTCCTTGTTCTTCTCTACTCCTCCTCCTCCTCCTCCTTTCGTCTGTTTCGTTTTACAAGTCTCCATCTTTTTTCTCCTCCTCCTCTCCTCCTCCTTCCCTCCTCTTCTTCTCCCTCCTCCTCCTTTCGTCTTCTTCTTCCCTCCTCCTCCTCCTCCTCCTCCTCCTTTCTTTTTCTTCCCTCGTCTTTTTCCTCCTCCATATCTTACCGCCCACCATCTCGCACATCCGCCAGCCATGTTGTACCGCCTTCCATATCCTACTGCCCGCTGTTGCCCGTTCGTTTTTTTTTCCCTGCCCCTAAGAAAGGACGTAAGCGGGCAGACAGCAGCCCCATTCACAACCGCACAGACTTCTTCTTCTTCTTCTTCTTCTTCTTCTCCTCCTCCTCCTCCTCCTAATTCTTCTCCTTCTTCTTCTCCTTCTTCTTGTGATATTTGTACTTTCTTTTCGCCCTCGCTGTTGGTCCTTGCATCCTCTACTTCCAAGACAGTATGGCGGGCAGTGGCAGCGGCGTCGGCGGGGGGAGTGGCAGGTCTGGAAGGAGGAGAGGCAAAACGGCAGCAGACAAAGGAAAAGGAAAAGTTGCAAGCACCTCCACTACCCCCTCCTCCCCCCGCCCAACACAGATGTCTTTCACAAGTTTCTCTGCGGATTCGGGGTCCTCTCAGCGAGCGCACTCCAACCCCATTTTCAAAAAAAAAAAAAAGAAATTCCTCGGACGTTTTTTGGCTCGTCTGGTTTTGCCGGCCGGACCCCCCCCCGTCCGTCTGGCCCGGTCCGTCAGGCCCGGTCCGTCTGGACCGGGCGTCGGCCTAACCCAGGTTCCAGATACATATAAACAAAAACCATGAGAACTGGCAACGTATCCTGCAGAAATACAAGGAGGATGTGTAGACCTGCAGAGACAGATCTCTTATACACATCTAGATGTGTATAAGAGACAGGTCTGGCCCGGTCCGTCAGGCCCGGTCCGTCTGGACCGGGCGTCGGCCTAACCCAGGTTCCAGATACATATAAACAAAAACCATTAGAACTGGCAACGTATCCTGCAGAAATACAAGGAGGATGTGTAGACCTGCAGAGACAGACCGAGGGAGACCGGCCGAGGGAGACCGACCAACCAACTGACTGACCGACTGACAGACCGACCGAACGATCGACGGAAGGACGCATGGACACATGGATCGGCGGACCCGCAGACCTATGGACAGACGGCTGTAACGACTGGCCGACGAACTGACCGACTGAGTGACAGAAAGACAAACAGACATACAGGGTGGCAGGCAGGCAGACAAGTAGACAGACACACGGACAGACAGACAGACAGACAGACAGGCAGACAAATGAGAGAGAGCCTGCAGGCAGAAATACTTGGAGCATAAACTGCGTAGAGTAATCAAATGTTCACTATTGTTTAGAGCTTGAACTGTGTTGAGTAATCACATAATCACTATCTTTCAGATTACAAAAAACACACTCTGCTCCACAAGATTCCCATACCAAAACATCACTGTGCAATATTCGCTATTTTTCCGTTTTTCAGTAGTTTTTCCATCCAACTTCCAAGGTAGGCCCAATCATCCCCAGTACAATCTTTAGCAGCGAACTGACCAGCCTTCCACATTCAGGGGGATGAGTAGAAACTGCCTCTGCAGCACAGAGAGGCCGGCAGGCAGGAAAACACATATCCCCTGATGAGTGATAAATTTCCACCAAGAAAAGAAATGTCAACACTAAGTACGTTTTCGGTTTTGCCCTATAGCATTATATGCCAATAATAAAATAGCTAGTCGGCGTTTAATGAACAGATAGCACAAAGGGTCACATCCAAGAAACCCACACTATAACATTTGCAATTTTGCACCTGAATCTGACAACAATAGAATTCACATCATCCATAAACTCCTACTCTCAGGTTGTCCTAAGGGGCTAAGCCTAAATCGGCGAAAAGGACCGGATAACCAAGAAGAGATTAATCAATCGAGGTCTCTGTGGCACACCGAACATGTTCGGAGCTTTTCCGAACTTCCGAACATGTTCAGGTGTTCGGCCGAACGCCTCCCGAACGTGTTCCGCCAGACATATTCAAAAAAACAAAACTAAAATAACTTTTTTGGTTTTTTTTTTTTTTTTTTCGAGTTTGGTTACGAATTTGAGCATACCTCCCAGGCAAAAGTTGTTTGTATTATTATTTTACATAACATATATTTTTTCCAGATTTTTCTGAGAACTCTTTTTTTTCTTTTTTTCTTTTTTTTTAATGTTCGCGTTCGGAGAGTTTCGGCGCTCGTTCGGGTTCGGTCACCGAAACCGAACACGATGCTACACACGATTTGAGTTATCTTTGAGAGAGAAAAAGAAAGAGAACTACTCCATAGTGAAAAAAGAAAGTACACACGCCCAAGTGGCTGTGCAGAACACAACCAACTGTTCTAGAGGTTTCCCTTTTTTTTTTAACAGATGCAGATTTCTAAGTTGTAACTATTTATCGTTGTGATCGTTTTTGATACGATAACGCTAGTGCTACCCTCTTTTGTGAAAACAAAAAGAGAGAGCACAAGCAAAGCACTCCGCCCCAAGGTAGAGGATGGAGCTGAAAAGCCTACAACAGAAAAATAAAGAAGTTCAAAAAATATGTCACTAATTCATAATGCTGCAGAGTCCGTGCAGACTGACCTCATGAAATGCTCCCCAGCGCCATCCGAAGGGACTGCTCACAAACCTGGGGGGGGAAAGAAAAGAGATTAGAAAATAAAAAGGACTGCTCACAAACCTGGGGAGGGGAAAGAGAGTAGAGATTAGAGAAAAAGACAAGGTTTGGGAGGGGTGGGGGGGGAGGGGAGTGCGAAAAAAAGACAATAGGCAACAATCAGCAAAATGTCCTTTCCCGTACCATTTTGTCTGCCACAATTAAGACCAGATTGAGTGTACTGCACTGAGCCTCACTGCTCGACACCTTGAAGACACACACATTGAGAGACCACACAAAATCCACATTGGAGTCCAGAGATGCAAAGTCGAGATACGCGCAGCCTAGAAATTCCAACAAACTATCATATTAAACAGTTTCGGACTTCCAGTCACCAAGTGCTCAACAGCGCAGAGTTCAGCAGCCCAATACCAGCATCCTCTAAGGTAGGTGACTCTCTTCTCTCCCTGGCTCTCTCTCTCTCTCTCTCTCTCTCTCTCTCTCTCTCTCTCTCTCTTGAGAATCTTGACTCTGAATACATCCGCCACTAATGAGCTCTACATCCTACTACTAGCTATGCGGCTATGGCCGCCTTCCCTCTCAGCACAGCGCTGCCCAGCAGGGCTCTCGTGCATGCCGCTCGCAGATAGCGCACAAGTGCTTCAGCAGCACTTCCACACTTCTCACGAATGAGCATTCTGTCCGAAATGTGGGTGGCCAGTCCTTATATTGACTTGGACTGAGCTTCAACTCGTCCCAGCCTCTGCTTCTTTTGGCTTCACTTGGACCAGGTACCACACGCCCACGGCCTGTTTGCTTCAGAATGTCAAGGCCTGGTACTTTCCCGAGTTTTCATTGGTGTGCTGCTGCCTGGATCTGTGAGTCACGACTTTTCACCTGTGAAACATGCCTTTTGACTGTGGGATGTGACTCTTGCCTCTGGGACACGACCTTTGCCTGGAGAAGCGTCCTTCGCCTGTGGGATAACACTTTTCAATATGAGACGCGACTTGTGCTTATAGAAAGCAACCTTTGCCTCTGGGATGTGACTGTTCACCGGGTGCCTTTTGGACTTGGCCTCCCTTGGCCTGAGACCTTGATCTGAAATTCGAATTCCGGGTCTGCATCGTGGAATGCCTTTCAGTGCAGAGCTTAGAGAAAATAAAGTTTGCAGCATTTGGCCTCAACTCTGTGCATCGGCAGGGATTGTATGGAACTCAGAGAAACACAGCTGACTTACTATGGGCACATACTCAGATGTTTTTTACCCAATCTGACCACGATTAAGACCAGATTTAGTCCAGAAAGTCCTAGTGAAATCAGACTTGGCCTGTTCTCACTTCGCATGCATGCAACAGATGGCAAAACACACTGGCGCTGGGCGCCCATACGATTCAGACAAACTTGCTTCAGATTGGCTATGGCGACTGAGCGTCTTCACTTCACACATCAACTCATTGTTTACAGCAATTCAGACACAAACTTGCTTCAGACTGGCTTTGGCGACTGACTTCACTTCACACATCAACTCATTGTTTACAGCAACTGCTTACACGCACTTAACTCAGGATCTCCCTGGATATCCCACACGCACTCACTCTGTACTTCACACACACACACACTCACTCACTAGCACACTACCTCTAACCTATGGCGGCTATGGCCGCTCGCTACCACTAACACTGGACGCTATCTCCTTCCTTCAGCCCACTTCGACTTCGGGCATCTGCAGACCACCTCACACAAGTCGCCTGGGCAGCGGTTCCGCATGGCTCACGCAGCAATGAATGAATGGCTGGACGCTGCCTCTTGATTTATACTTCTGTAACTCGCTGGTCTGCCCTTTTCCACCGGGCCCATGGTGCACACAGTCCCTCATGGTACTTGCTGACTGTACAAAGTGAGACTGGGACTGGGTACTGCTGACTAAGCAAAGTTGGACTCACCACTTGCCCACTTGCATCTGGTCTGCTGTGAGTAACGTGAGAAAAAAACTCGAAAGGCGACTTACGGATCTTCCGGAAGTCTGTGGACTTGGCCTTTCGGGACTGTAGCAGCTACGACCTTGAGCTTTCAGGACTGTAGCAGCTACGACCTTGAGCTTTCAGGACTGTAGCAGCTACGACCTTGACCTTTCAGAATTGCTACAGCTACGACCTCTACACAACTATGACCACTAGTCGACAGACCTACAGATCGAACCCCTACAGCTACACAGACCGATGACAGGCAACAGTCAACTAACAAAACACAGGTCACGGGCTCAAACACACAGGGGTCGACTCGATACTGTACACGGGTGTGGTAAGGTCTAGGGATCAAGCCCTGGGATCTGCATCTGCTACTGCTAAGGTGAAAAACGTTTCACTAGTCTCTAGGTAAATACTAAATGCCATTATCGACACACCATCCATGAACAGAGAGAGTTGCTCAGTTGATTTTTGTTTTTCAAAGACACTTCAGACCAAGTCTACACATTGGCTGGATGTCACTGTTGCCACAACTCTACAGCTTTCAAGCAAAACACCATATTCATACTAAGTTTGATACCACCCATCGTCGTGATATATTTCAGCCTCTGTTTCTGTAATGATCCCAATTAGAAGAAGTTCACATTACCGACACCGTCCACGAATCTCAAAATGCTCAAAGATCGACAAATTTAACAGAGAGATTGTGAACCAGATTTCAGACTAAGGAGGACAAGGAAACGAGGAGGATTGTTTCCAATAATAGTCAGTGAATACAATATCTGGCCTCCCTTTCCCTTCCTCCAGGATTCTTCCCTCGCTTCTTGCCCCAACCCACTTCAGTCAACCTATCCCTCTACCAGTGATGTAGCCGGTATGTCTTTCAGAACACTCTGCCTACAATCAAAGCCACTCTCCAGCACTGAGTTAAACAGGCAGGATAACACCGGAACAAACCATGTCAGCCTTTTCGAGCGAAGTGCTCTCTCTCACTCTCTCTCTCTCTCTCTCTCTCTCTCTCTCTCTCTCTCTCTCTCTCTCTCTCTCTCTCTCTCTCTCTCTCTCTNCTCTCTCTCTCTCTCTCTCTCTCTCTCTCTCTCTCTCTCTCTCTCTCTCTCTCTCTCTCTCTCTCTCTCTCTCTCTCTCTCTCTCTCAAACATTACTGTTTCACTCTTATGCTAAGCTACGGTGCAGCACACCATCTATCCTACGTATGGGAACTCTTGCACTCACACCAACTCTCACTCTCCGTTGACTTCTCCCAGCGCCAGTGCTCCAGCAGCAGTGCTCCAGCTTCAACGCAGTATGAATGCAGGACCTTGGGCAGGCCCAGTATTTGTAGTATTGACTCTGCTTGGCCTGCTTCCAGTCAGCTCCTCGTTCGGTTGACATTTCCTGATCTGTACGGCAGTCGAACTTTTCTTGCAATCAGTGCGCCTTGGACCCAGCGGACCTTGGAAGCTTCTGGAAACTGCACTGAGCCTTTGGATTGTGTGTGACATGTGGCCGTTGGTAACCTCTTGAGGAATTTTCGACTCTTCAGCTTCTCTGCCCGAGTTGGGCCTGACTGTTGATTTCCATAAGGCCTACATTTACCACTGGAGGCTCTGGGGACTTGCTTTGACCCTTGACCACAGACCTACCGACCTTAGGACTTTCTGGAGTCTCTTTGGAGGGTCCAGGATCTACTTTTGCCCCAGAACTTCAGTCTGTACATCAGCTACGACCACAAGACATGTTCTGTGCTGATTATACCTATACCTTGGTGCGTCACATTCCCTCTCACACAAGTGATATCGAGGAATTCGATATTTAAGTACCCTCGCTATTTGTCCATATAGGAATGTAAAATTTATGTATACTTCACTTATACTTTATCTAAGAACATCAATGGCGAATTTCAATACTGGATTCATCTCTTGCTATGGCAATGATACAAAGCATAACGATGTGTTTCAGGCAATATCGCGTCACCTACCGCAAACACACACAATCCCACCATCTCATGCAGCCAAAATGACATACCGCGCACAATAAGATATAACGTTCCCCATCAGAAATTTAAGCAAGGTTATGTAAAAAAACCGCTTAGATTTAGAAATGCCAAAACTGGCACTGCCACAATGCATCTGGACGCCAGGATGCCCGGGTGCATAATATGCACATTGATATGCAGAAACGTGTTGTCCCTGTCCACCTTAGAGAAAACAAAAGGAAGTAGTATCCCTAGCGCAGCCATCAGAAATTAAGTAGGGTGATGTAAACAACCTGCTCAGATTAAGAAATGTCAAAACTGGCCCACGTCCATAATATGGATGTCACGATGCCCATGTTCATAATATGCACATTGATGTGCATAAATGTGTTGTCATTGTCCACCTAAGAGAAAATAAAAAGAGGTCCCCCTAACACAACCAGGAATGATGTGATGCCAAAACATGAAGAATCCTATCACTGAGAGAAAGAGAAAATGCTTTTATATGCTAGCTTTCCTATCCGGGCACACGGGCCACCGCACGGCACCCAGAATGGTACTCGGTGTCCCTGGCCGTGCAACCCCCCCGACCAGGCTCCCGAGCCCCTCCACCGCAGAGGCGCAAACTGCCCCAAAGGGCCAAAACCTTTTTTTTCGCACCGCCGCTGTCTGGCCTGGAGGCTAAAGTGTGCTTTGGTGGCGGCGGAAAAATCTCGGGGCCCGGTAGGCCCCTGTTTCGCAGTTTTTTCTTGGTTCGATCTTCGCCATCCATCGATGCAGGTCGACGGCGCGCACAGGTCAAGGATACAAATTTGAATCCTGGTACATTTGCCTGGGCTGCCAGGTTGCTGTCAACTGAGATAAATAAAATGCGCATATCAAAATTTAAAACTTGTCGACAAATCTTGGAAAATGTTTGGCAAACAAAAAACTTACTCAAAAACAAAAAATATATATATTTGGAAGCCTAAAAAAAAAAAAAACAAGGCCGGTCAATTTTCACAAAAAACTACAAGCGATTAAAAAGTTATCTATTTTTTATGGTAATCTGTTGCCCCACGCCGCGCCCAGCTCCTCGAGGCCGTGCACTGCTGCCCCGACGGAGACATGTCCAGCTTGTCGCCATCGAGGTGGCCGTCTTGCTGCCCCTACGAAGACGACTAGTCTGCCATCATCAAGAAGGTTCGAGGTAAGTTCTTTTTTTGTTTCTTCTTTTTTCTTCAATTCCTCTTCTTCTTCTTCGTTAAGTCTTTTTCTTTTTTTCTCTTTTCTTCAATTCATCTTCTTCTTCTTCGTTTCCACTTGTTTACTTCCTCTTCTTCTTCCTCTTTTCGTGTTGTTGTATTTCTTCTCATTTTTTCTTTTTTTTTCGTTCCTTTTCTTCTTCTTCTTCTTTTTCTTCTTCTTCTTCTTTTTCTTCTTCCTCCTCCTCCTCCTCCTTCCCACTCTCCTCCCTCGCATCCATAGCTACCCTCTTACCCCACGCCCATTGAGGTGCCCCTAGCAGCCCTCCTCCCTGCGCCCATTGCAGCGCCCTTGACCGTAGACCTCCTCCCCCATTGCGCACCTCCTCCCATCCCACCCTACTCCTCCGTACCCTCCCTCCTCCCTCGTCTGGCATACCCTCTCTCCTCCCTCCCTCTTCTGCCATACCCTCCCTCCTCCCTCCCTCTCCATCACCTCCCTCATCCCTTCTGTTTACTCCACTATAGCCTTCCCTCCTCCCTCACTCCGCCATACCCTTCCTCCCTCCTCCTCACTTTCTCTCCGTTGCCTCCTCCTCCCTCCATGATACTGTCACTCCTCCACAATATCCTCCCTCCTCCCTCCCTCTCCATTCCCTCCCTCCCTCCTCCCTCCCTCTCC